TTTAATTTTTAACGTATTGTATTTATAAGAGCTTAGTGTATCTTAGCATATGTTGCTAGGTCAAAAGGTGTGGAATGCATGTTAGAAGGAGAGAAAAAAATAGAGATTTTCTATATTTGCCCTAAGTCCTATTTAGTAATTACTATCAGCGTTCTTATCGGTTAATACAAAGATATGGCCTTGTCTCGGCAGTTATTTTTCTCGAAAACGCTTCTTTTAACTAACTTTATTGTCTGTGCATTATAAATATTATTGACATAAGTCGTATTTAATAACTATTATCATCGTTTTTATCGGTTAATACAAAGATATGGCCTTGTCTCGGCAGTTCTTTTTCTCTAAAACGCTTCTTTTAACTAACTTTATTGTCTGTGCATTATAAATATTATTGCCATGAGTCGTATTTAATAATTATTATCATCATTGTTATCGGTTAATACAAAGATATGGCCTTGTCTCGGCAGTTCTTTTTCTCTAAAACGCTTCCTTTAACTAACTTTATTGTCTGTGCATTATAAATATTATTNATGGATTTTTCACCTCTAAGAGCTGTGGATGGTTTTCTATGATGTTCATAAGAATACCATCAATGTAGGCTTTCAGTTTTGCATTTACTTCTTTTTGTTCATGTAATGCCTTCATCATATCATCTTTGGTTAAGGTTTCAAATTCGTCTGCTAAAGAAATTGCTGAGTTTTGGCTTACTAGTGTTTGACCTTCTTGCAAACTATTTGCTAACAGCTGAGCATTTAATTCTTCATTAGTTTCTAATATTAACTTGTTTTCGTCTTTGACTTTTTTAAGCTCCTGCTGGAGTTCTCGGTACTGAGCAGGTAGTTCTAAGAGACTGGGGCTTCGCAAACGAGTTTCTCCTGCAGATTCTGAATGTTTTTCCAGTTCTTTAGACAATTCATCCAACAACTTATTACTGTTGGCCCTCTCAGTCTGGAATTCTTGTTTTTTTCTTCTTGCTTCAACTCTAACTTTTTGAGACTGCGTCAATCAGTTTGAACCCTCTTTATTTGTGATAATCACATGAATTAGTATTGAAAACGATCCAGGTTGAACTGTAGGTTAGAATGTCTGATTCTTAATTAAAACAATAAAAACAAAAATATCATTCAAATGATTAAATTCTCTTTTATTCACAACTTAAGAAGCATTTGTGGGATCTCTCTAGTCCCATACTTCAAAAATAAACTCACCAAAATTGAAAGTGAAAAAAAAATTCAAAAAGAAATATCAAACAGCAGCGATCGCCGTAGCAACGTATAAGCACTGTCTACTATTACACTTGATTATTGTGGTTGAAAAGCGAGGACTCCATGAAATACAAACCAAGACCCATTTTGCCAATGGATAATAAAATTTCCTAAGCAGGTTTCGAGAAAAACCTTCAAACTAGATTGATTTCCGCCTGTATGCTAAAGTTACTGTAAAAGCAAAATTACCTATTATTTTATTGAAATGTAAATTAAATGAAAATATAATTTAGATTTTAGATGACAGAAGATTTGATTTGCTCATGTTACCATGGCAACCGCATTTTCAACTGGTCATACGCAAACATATAGCGATTGTTGTTCAGAAACAAAGCACAACGTTACCGATCACATTTCAGATTTAATATTTAACAGCGTGTTTAAAAGACATTTATTATAATTACTCTATAATTTGTTTCTCCCAAATTTATTATGATTTAAAAAATAAAAGTAAATCAGTTTTTTTAAAAGTATCATACTTACAAGTTTAACTTAAAACTTATTTAAGTTAAAAAGTAAATAAAATGTTGAAAGTAGAACATTTATGTTATTTTTAGTGAAATTACCTCCAGGTAAAACAAAAATTCTGCTCGACTTGTCAGTTTTTATTAGAAATATCCAATATCCTACTGAGTCAGGTGAAATATTTCCCGATATTGTAAAGCTAGCGATATAATATTGAATTTTTTTTTTTTTTTTTACTCAAAAATTTATTTTTTCCAATTTATTTTATTTATTTTTAAAACTAAGTTTTGAGAACAAATATACTTATTTTTAAGGACAAACATCATTTCAAAGAATTTGTTAAAATATTTCCTTTCGGATATTTTGGGCAAAAAAAGTAATTATTTAAATTTTTTTTGTTTAGTTTAAGTTTGAGTAAAATCAAAAGGAATTTCTTTTCTATCCTTATAGAAATCTTTCATTATTCTATGACAGTTTTTTTCGTGCAATGTGCAATACAGTGAAATTTGGATTTAAAGACTAAGTAATAATTTGAAAATGTTTCTTTTTTATGCTACTATCGCTGGAAGCAATTATATCTAGACTAAAGTTAAATTCCTTTGGGGATTTATTAAAAATTCCTCTTTCGAATAAAAACAAAGAACGTGTGG